CCAAGTAGCTGGGACCACAGGCGCCCGCCACAACGCCCGGCTATTTTTTGGTTGCAGCCGTCATTGTTGTTTGGCGGGTCCGGGCTGGGGATTCGAACACGCCACCTTAGGTGTACGTGGCTGGCACCTTAGCCGGTTGAGCTATAGGCGCCGAGCCTCCTCTCTCATTCTTTATGTCATCACAATATCTTAGAATGGAAAAGTCTTGGTGGCCCGACAAGCAACACCTTCACTTTGGGAGTGTGGAAAAGCCATGTGACCACCTTCCCAACATACGAGCTCTATATCCAAGCCCTTTTCTTTCTGCAAAGCTTTAAATTTGCATGTGTACCATAGGCCTATGGTTCACTCTATAAGGGTACATGTGAATCTTTCTAAATGTAGAATACAAATATCTTAACACAACAACTAAGAAAACGACACGAAGGCTATGTTGACCAGTTTGATGAAAATATCTCAAATTGTATATAAAAACAGCACACTATACCCCATGACTGTATTAATGAACACAGCTATGGTTTAATAAAATAAATAAATAAATAAATTGGCATGTGTGCTGGGATTTATTTTGTAAGATGGTTTAAGGTTTATTTTTTTTTTTTTTTAAGAATTGGTCAGAGTGTTTCCAGTAGCAGAGAGAGAATTGCATTTGTTGCCAGGAGCACAGAGCTGAGCCCTTGTTACACCTCAGCTATACACTAGGTAAATTGGAATCACTACCCCCACACTCAAATTGGTTCCAATCTCAACACATACAACTAGGTGAACACATAACTATTAAAAAGCATGGGCATAATCTTAAATTCTCTAACGCTCTGTTTTTTCTTCTGAAAAATGGCTAAAATATGCTTAGCTTTAATGATCTTAGGAGCAGGATGTCAGTGAATACCGGCAGGCTGTGATGATGATAGTGGTCTGATGATTATTTTAAAAAAGAATTCCATACAAACTATTGTACTAACACCTGATGAAATCACAGATGTAGATGTTCCTGTCTCTGTTTCTCTGGGTATAAAACGTGACACTCCATCTGCAGGGGTGTCCTAGAGTTAAAGAATTTCCTTTAGTTATCCCCTTATGTGAATGATGACTTGGTATTTTTCTTTGTCTAGATCTAAATGTCCATGGTTGCTGGTTTATGTAAACAATGATGACCACAAACCACCTGGGCATTTGAGTTAAAGGACTCACACTGAAGAAACCAAATCTCTAATGGACCTGCAATCCTTCTGACAACAGAGAAAGGAAGAAATACTGAAGATAGTTATTAAAGCTCAGAAGACTTCTTAAAGACCTTAGAATGGGCATCTTCAAACTACGGCCCATGGGCCACATACAGCCCACCGGGTGTTTTTGCCGCCGCTGCCCATCCTGCTTAGCAGCCGACTCGTCCTGGGGTCCGCAGTCTGGCCCTCCAACTGTCTGAGGGACAGTGAACTGGCCCCTTGTTTAAAAAGTTTGAGGACTCCTGCAAAACCTGGACATTTTAACCTTAGAAGAGAAGAGAGTGGCCTGTGAAACAGGTTCTGATACAGACTTTACGTGTTTTCCAGTGAATGTTTCACTTCACTGAATATATTCACTTGTACTTTTCCATTTTAAATTATGTGAAAATAAATATTTACACTGGGCGAGCAGTAACACACTCCAGGATATATATTTATAGTCCTTGGAGTCACCAGTTCTAAAATCATACGCTACCCCAACCTCCAGAAACAACACAGTGACCTATTACTGTGAGATCTGTGACACGGTCCTGACAGGTGGCGACACCTTTACACAGGTGTGCAGAGTGGCCTGGGGGCATCAGACCACCCCTAAACAAACAAAATATATATTTGTAGAAAAAAATTATGCAAAATTCCATTTGTGAGTAAATATTATTTTCCCCCAGGTGGCCAAATATATGGAAATGAAATTAAAGAAAGCTTTACTGTTGATATGTTTATTATGAATTTATAACCTAAATCATATATAGTGTTACTCAAACACCATGATTAGAAACTTGAATTATTTTGTCTTTAAAGTTATTCTGTTCAGGATTTGATAGCATCGTGTCCTTCCTCACTTTTGTGGAGTGGTGGTGGTGTAAATGTCCAAATATTATAAAAAGCAACAGTCTGGCAATACTGCACTGTTCATGGTCTAACTTTTTATTCTTAAGAATTAACTATGGAGCAAATTCTGCTGAGAGTTTTGTTACAGGTTGTTGCTTCTTTGTGATTGCCACCAAAGTGTGTGGGAAAAAATGCACGCACAGTGCTCTGGCTTTGCGGGTCTGTAAGGTATAGCCCTGTGGGAAACACCTCATGAAAATTCACTGTTAGACCTCCCAAGGCTACTGTGCACATCCCACAAGGCACAGAATAGCCAACAACCCACTTGAAGATTAGCTTCAAGGGCCCAACTGACAAGTCGCATCACCATCACTTTCTCTCCAAAATCAACATCTTAAACCAGAAAAGTGACGTGGAAAAAAGCAAATCCATAAGTAATTTGCCCATCAAATCTCTTCCCTAAACTGTTAAAAGTCAGTCCTAAGGGAGGTTTAAATTAAAACAACCTAGCGTGAAACAGATGGTGCTCTGTCCTGTTCCTGACTGATTTGAAGTCTCACTGGGGAAGGTCCTGTCGCGTAAGGGCTCTCTCACTCTGTAATACGGCAAATAACAGGATGAATGCTATTTCTCCCTTCTTTTCCTCCTTTCCATCCCCCTTTCTCCTCCCTTTTCTCACTCACTTCCTCCCTTCCTTCCTATCCATCTACTTGTCCCACAGGTAAGATCTTAGATTTGCCGATGTTGATCCTGAGTGCAGTCAATTTATAGCATGAACCAGCAGGTAAATAAACAGTCTGTTGAGTGGAGCAGAGTTAAGCATCCTCCCACAGACAGAAAGCCAATACTACACAAATGGGGCCACAGGCGTTGGCAGCACCGACATCTGGATGCAGCCCCTGAACTGTCGTTACTCATAAGGACTCTCTCTGGATACGGTCTGCAATCTGACCTCCCCGTGGCTCACTCAAGTTTGATTCGGCAGTAGGCACAGTAAATGCATTTTAGAAACTGACAGTGAAAGATTCATGTGCTCATAATTCTCACAGAGAACCTTTCACTGACATCAAATAGCTGCCTTCTCTTGAACTTCCCGCCCTCCAGCCCCCCAGCCTTCTCCGTCCCCACCAGTCACCAGACACACACACCACCAATTAATACTTACTCACGAAGGCTTCCTCGTCCACTGGCAAACGCATCGACATGCAGAAGTAGGTGTCAGACTATTAGAGAAAGAAAGATACAAAATCTGAATTAAACTCCTGCTAGTAAGTCGCTGTAACTATGAAAAGCCTGGCCTCTACGGTTGAAAAAGAAGAGCGGGTCCCGTGAGGTGAGCTCTGGGTGACAGGAGACTGAAGGGTTGTTACCTCTGGAACTGAGGGACCCTGGAAGTTTTCCCAAGACTCTTTCCTAAACAACTTAATTATCCTTTTATAAAACCAATTACAAGTGATATTTCTAGTATTGTCAGTCAAAAGGCAACATTTTAGATGCTTGTATAGAGTGGAACAACTTAATGCATTTGGTTCTAAAATGGTAAAATTTATTTTGACCATCTTTGCTGCTTGCAAAATTAAATATTTATTTTCCTGAATCACTTTACAAATGCCCCAAATGTTAATTAGAGAAGCACATATAATGGATAAAAATTGGTCTTAAAATGTAATATTATACTTGGTTGTTCTTTCTTTAACACTTTTATGCAGTACGTGAAAGAAATCAACATTATTTCGAATTATTCTTTTCTTTCCTGTTATTGGTCTCTTATCCAAATGGTCATTTTTTCACCATTAAATATATGAATATAAAGACTACCCAGTGATAAAATTGCAATTGAAGGAGAATGGGCTTCCGTTCACCTGGGCGCTCCAGTTTCTTAATGGAAATCCACAGGCAGTGCAGTGTGTGCTGTAGTTGTTCCACGCCCGACACAGATGTGGGCTGTGCTCACTATTAGTGCATATTTCCCGCTTGTTACTGCACACTCCTAGAATCAACAGACTGGACCAACATGGATGGAGATCATCTCGGTTTCTCTCTACTTAAAAATTGTGCACCTTCAAAACCCCTTGGGCTATCACTTAACCCCAGTAAGAACAGCCCACGTCACAAAGTCTCAACACTGCAGATGCTGGCAGATGTGGAAAGGAGGGAGCATTTACACACTGCTGATGGGATGGCAAACTATACAGCCTCTCTGGAAAGAAGTATGGAGAATCCTCAAGGGGCTGAGAGTAGACCTTCCATTTGATCCCACAATCTCATTACTAGGCATCTCTCCATAAGAAAAAACATCATTTTACCATAAGGACATTCACACTAGATTGTTTATGACTTACCATAAGGACATTCACACTAGATTGTTTATGGCAGCTCAGTTCACAATCACCAACATGTGGAAACAACCCAACTCATGAAAGGATAAATAAACTCTAATGTATGTGCACCATGGAATTCTTCTCAGCCATAAAGAAGAATGGAGACTTTACAGCTTTTGTATTTAATTGGATGGATCTGGAGGACATCCTCCTAAGTAAAGTATCCCAAGAATGGAAAAACAAGCTTTCAATGTGCTCAATACTAATATGAAACTAGTGGATGAGCAGCTATAGGACCTCACAAGAAAAAAATACTCCACAATTAAACTCAATTCTGGGGGGAGGTGACGGGGAGAGAGGTGAGGAGGGACAGGGATTGGGGAGCTCTCACCTACCAGACCCAAGGTCAGGGGATATGGCAGCCTGTGAGTGAAGGGCTCAACTACAGCTGGACTTTCACCTAACACACACTGATAATATAACCTAATTGTTTATACAATTAATTGATTAATTAAAATTGTGTACCTAAAAATTGTGAATTTTGTGCCTAACATTTTACTTCTGTGTTGGGAGGGGGGTTCAAGTATTCCTCAAACAAGTACTTAACATTTGAAACATTACAAAAATGGGATTTGGTCTCAGTATATGCCAACTTTTTCTCATTTGAGCGAACTTTCATTTATTAAAAGTTTTTATGTTTGGGCTGCATTTTCTAATAAGGATTATGCGCTGGAAAATGTTGAAGGTTTCACAATAAGGAGGTTAAATCACAGAGTTGCTGGAGAAATAAACATATATCCCAAACCTAAGAAACACAGCGGCAAAACAGTGAGTGCTTATGGGCTCACAATCACGCACAAGCTGGCTCGTAGTTTTCCAATCTCTGGATTACTAGAACTACAAAACATACCTTCTCTGTGCCATTAATATGTCAACATTGGTGGTCTAATAATCTAAAAATTAATAAGCTCAAGATTCTTTTCAATTTGATCATCCTGAGCTGTGAGTTAAGTCAGGACTGAAAGTCAGTTAGCAGCTACTATACATAGTCACTGCGGCTACTGGCCAATGTGTTTCATACGTGTGAAGCAGGATTCTTAATGTTTTACTTCTATTATGCCATTTAATAGATAAAACAATCCCATCTAAGAGATAGAGATGGCATTTTAAAGATAATAATTACAAATACTTATAGAGAGTTTACTACGGGCCCTGCTATTCTAAGCTCTTTACAAATATTAACTCCTTCAATCCTCGACAGGTATTCCTATTAATCAGGTGCTATCACTGTCCCTGGTTTACAGACAGGGAGGCTGAGGCAAGTCAGGTTAAGTAACTGTGTGAAGATGCCCAAGCTAATGGCAAGGACTCTCTCCTTGGCCAAACTCTGGTCACACTCTTCTGAGCCTCTACCTTAGCCTGCAAAATCTTCAGACTCTCACCTCAAGTTATTTTGTTCACACTCCCCCTCTCCACACTCTGATAAACTTGGCGAAATGCCAGCATAGTTTCTAACAGCTCAAGGCTGCATCCCTCAGAAGGGCCCACCATCCCTTAAGATGCCTGCCTAAGAAGCATCAGTGCTGCTGGCAAAATTTATTGTTTGTTCCAGATGAAACCTGGTAATAGGTATGGGCTCCTGAACTTTCTCTTAGAGCAGTTACTTTAGAAAGCTTGTAACTATAAATCCTCCTCCGACCCTTTGAGATGTGTGCCTCTTACCGGCCCCCTGAGCATTCTGACCTGGATGGAGACGGAGCTGTGCAGCTGTGCAACTCCTGGCCCAATGGGCGTCCTGCTTCATTTCACCTGTACCTCTGCCTCCTGTCATGAGAAGCTTGTTTCTCCCCCTGGTAAGTGGCAATTAACAAAACCAGAAGTCTCCAACAGGTGGACGAGGCCCTGTCACTCCCTCAGCGCCCATGCAAACACACTCACTCCAGCCCTCACTCCCTGTCGCTCCCTCAG